CCCAAGAGTACAAACTTTGGATTTTATTCTGCAATGGGAAGCCAACCAAAAATTCTGAACATAGGAGAGGCTTTATTTTTTAACTTAATTTTTATTGTTAAAATTTACTTTATGGAAGCTTCAAACAGACACAAAAGTAGAGGACATAGCATAATGAACCCTCGTTTATCTATCACCTGCTGTCAACAACTGTCAACAACTTGCCACTCCTGTTGCAAGTACCACTCCACATATTTTTAATAAACCATTAGATGACCGACGGCTTTGGGATTTTTTTGGAGGGAGGAGGAAGTCCAGTTGGTAGAGTGTTCCCTGGGTTTCCCTCCTGGTTACTGAACCCAAAATTATAGAGGCCCCAGCATTTCTTCAGAAATCCTGGCACAAGGATCTCATGGCTGAGGTTTTGCTTTCTTTACAGCAGCGTCTTTGTGGATGCCCAGAGAACTCTGGCCAGAAAAGCGCTTGGAAAGACAGGGTCTAGAGCACAAGTAGAGGGTGGATTTACATAGAGGTCCTCCTCCTCAGGAGTGTGGTGGGTGGTGGAGGGGCTGTCTGAGAAGACGGAGTATGCACCCTGTGAAATGTGAAACAAAACGGGGTCACTTATGTCTCAGGCTTTAAGATGGAGCCGAGAGGCCATTAAGGAAATGGGCCTTACATACGTCCTCACCGGGCAGAACATGAACTTTTGAGCTGAATCAAGACAAATATTCTGAGAACGCTGCAAAGAACTCCTGCAACTTATCACAGTGATGGACTTTTGCCTCTCTCTAGCGATGGCCTTAGCAATCAATTATGTTTAGCCGAGATTAGCCTTCTGCCATCAACCCCAATTGACACTCTGTAACGCAAACCTCCCTCTTTTGCCTTTAAAAGCCCTAGCTTCTTATTCCCTAGTGGGACACTATTTAGGCTGCCACCTGAATCTGTGTACCCTGAATTGCAATTCTTTGATCCCAAATAAATGCCTGCCTCTCATTTTGGCTCTTTATTTTCAGGTTAACAACCCCCTTGACACCTCCTGCTTCGGGATGTGATAAAGAGACCCACAACTCAACTGCCTTCAGTCTTGTCCCAGTAGAACTACATTCTGACCTGCCCATCACGGAGAGTTAACCAGAATGTACCCCTGAGGGGCTAAATTAACTTAACTTGGATACATATAAAATCAATCACCAAGGGATTTGGAGGACTGTCATGGAAATGGAAAGTAGCAAACAGGAAATAGTAATTAGGAATAACGCGCTCGGCACTTTTCTGGGCAGAGACATAAACATCGTGGTGCTAAAAACCGTCTTATATATCGGCCAGGGTGGGCCGCAACTCTCCGTGCATCAGAACATCACACTTGGTTTTGGGAACCCAAACGGCCGTCTAAGGACCACGTGCTCTGAGCTGAGGGTGCAGGGGCGTGGGAACCGCTGAAGAACCGGCCAGAGAATGTGAGGGCGCAGGGCATCTGTCAGGATTCCTGGAGAGGTGCGGAACCTCAAGCGCGGGACTGTTGTGTCGGGCTCGCTGGAGCATCGCTGCAGCTCCGCTTACGCCGCGGGGAGCGAACAAAGGCAAAGCTCAGCGGCCGAGACCTCTGCTCTGCAGACTCCCCACTTCCCTCCCAAAAAACTCTCAACAGTCCTCGATGGTTTGTGAAACGCCCCAGTGGCTCCTGTCCACCTTCGCCAGGGCAGCCAACATTAACCTCTCGTTTCGGGGCCCCACGAGGTGTTGTTTCTGCCCGCAGAACAAGCAGGTGCCTCTGAGGTCTGGGCGGGTCCTCAGCTCAGCTCAGCGCGCCGTATTTTCAGGTCTAGGCACCGAGGCGGGCCTGACTACATTTCCCAGGAGCCTCGGCGCGCACTTCCGCTTCCGGCCTCCTTGTCTGCACCCGCTCTGTGCGCGGCGAGTTTGTGTCCAGCAGTCGTTCTTGGCGGTGACCTGACCCGTGTCTGGTCCGGAGAGAAGCAGACGCTGGACAGGGGTGTGTGTCCAGCAGGGGACTGTCAGACTTGGGGGCCTGGCTGCGTCCCACTGGCTTTCTCCCCGGGCCCGCTGATCTGGCCGTAATCCCTTCTGCTGGAGCTGGGGTGGTGCCTCACTCGGTTCGGCCACTTGACCCTGCCCCTCTGCTCTGGGTTTTGTGTGTACCCGACAGTGGTGTGTGCGTGTGTTTAATATCCGAGACACCGAGTCCTTTGCTCGGAAACAGGCTGAGGGCCCGCGCAGCCTTGGCTGGAAGGTGAGGCAGTTTGGGCGGAAGGCTCCTGGTGCTTGGGTCAGGTCCGAGACCCACGCACGTGTGCCCGTGTGTCCCTGCAACCCATAGTGTGGTGGAACCATTGTATAGACTCAAGCAGTGGTAACGTGGGAGGGCGTGGATGCAAGAGATTCATTCGTCTACATTGCTAGAAAGCGGTTTTGCTCGGGGATGTGACCCAAGGCGAGTCACTGAACTCCTGTTCCTTATTTGTCAAATGAGGTTTATTGTTCCTACCTTAGGTGGTGGTTCTGAGGATTAAGTGGAATTCTGATATGAAACAGTTCACACAGTGCCAGGCACCAAGTAAGGGCTCAGTCAGTAGTAGCGATTATTAATAGTAGGTGTCCACCTCCCCATTTGTACTTAAAAAAAAACTGAAGCCCAGGGAGGAAGGGTAACTTGTTCTGGGTCACTCAGCCAACTGGCACATAGTAGAAATTAGAACCCAGGTGGCCTCTCTCCTAGCAAGGCACTTTCTACCATGATCCACACTTGGCACTTGTGTATCTGTCAGGCATGTTGGTAACAGCATCTTCACTTGTTGCCTGTGATTGTGTTCCTGGGTGACTGTCTCTGCAGGGCCCTGGGGTAAAGGTTATATTGAGACCTGCCTGTGTTTAGGGCTTCTTGAAGACTGAGGGACTGCTGAAGTTCTTGACTTTAACCTTAGCTCAGAAGATACTGCTTCGGACACTCTGATGACTGTTAGGAGTGGAGTCTCAGAGAATGAGAAAAGAAATACAGTGAAAAAGGAGAAAAATTCAATCCAGGATCTCTTGCCAGAGTTTCTGGGAGAATGCTGGCAATTCCCAGGAAGAGACGTGGAGTACTTGGGTGAGGTTGCTACACCCAAATTGTGGTGCAGAGGCTGTGGTTGTGGAGGATTGGACCCACAAACTTCAGAACAGAGGTAAGAAATACAAGTGAGAGAGCGTTCTGCCATTAGCTGGGCACCTACGGTGTGCACACATAGTCTCATTTTAGTTTTTCATTATAGCAGCCTTGTAAAATGTGTGCACAGCATGAGACCTTGGGCAAGTCGTCAGTTTCTTCATTTGTAAAAAGTGATTTATGGAAAGCACCTGGCACATGGTGAGTGCTTGATATGTAGCAGTAATTTTACTATCATTCCATTTTTACTACCATTCCTTTCTTGAAGCTCCAAGAAAGGAAGACATCTCACCCTCCATACTCTTTCCGTTATACCAGATGCCTCTCCGGAGGAGGAGAGAGGAGGAAGTCATACTCCTTGGAAAGAGAGGAGGAAATGGGCATGGAGAAGCTGATGATTTGATTTGGCGTGACAGCACGTGAGAGGGCTCAGGTGCAGAGCCGGGGCCTGCATCAGCGGGGTCCATGGCCTTGCTGCCCAATTCTGGCAGGGTTGGGAACGGCTCACTGGTTTCCTTTCAGTTCCCTCTTAAGAAGTGTTGTTTCTTAAGGAAGTACAAATGGATGGCCAAGATTAGAAGGGCCTTCTATAGTCTATCTCTAGTCTGTTTGGCTTTCCCCAAACATCCCACCCTCAGCCCCTCTGAGTTCCCAAGACCCTGGAACTTAAGAGTTCCTACTCTTCATTGATTGTCAGAGTTCACTACAGGGATGGGGCAGGCATCTTGGGCAAGTGGGGGCTTGGGAGAATGATCAAACATTGATTATACCTTTTGTTTTTTGTAAAACAAAGGATAGAAAGAAAACCCTATAAAATCTTGGTTAGTGTAGAAAATAGAATAGTAGTTAACTGATAGTTAAATGACCTTTACTGAATGCTTACTCTGTACCAGGTATTGATTTGGGCCCTTTATATGCATTAATGCACAATGCTGGAGGTAGGTATGACTATTATTCCCATTTTTCAAATGAGGAAACTGAAGCACAGAAGAAACTGGCCTGTGGCCATGCAGAGCCATGTTGAAAGCAGGAAGGAGGACTCCAGAGCCAATGTTCAGTGAGAAAGCATTGTAGGAGGCATAGATTTTTAAAAATTATGAAACCCTGTACTGCTTATAATGACTGAGGGCTTGAAATACCTACTTCTTCCCCCATACAAATCCATAGGGTCTTTAAGTATTGCTTTTGGGAGTGGGGGAGGGGGAGAATTAAAGAAATGATAAACTGTAGACTATTAGGAAAACACAGAATTATATATGGAATAAAATAAATAGCATGTAATTCTACCACCCAGAGATAAGCTCAAAGAAGTACTCAAAGTTAATATGATCAGCAGTTTTCTCCCTAGAGGCAAAAAGTCAAAATGGGAAAGTAAATCACGTGCAGAAGGTTGCTTGATGGGTGTGGAATCAGACAAAGGGAGTTAGGTGGGTTGTTCATTAATTCATTCACAACTCCTTGGGCTTATTGCCTGCCAGGCACACTGTGCTGGGTGCTTAGCATGCAGGGGAGAATGAGGTGACACACTGCAATTTAGTGGATCCTGTGTGTGGTGGAACCAACCTAGGATGGCTGCAGACTTACCGTGGGCCTGGAATGGTCGTCATCTGGTGGCTGAAGTTCCCTGTACCCTTGACTGCTGGGAAGGGCACTGCCTCTGTGGCTCCGTTTTCTTGTTCTTTAAAGTTGTGCAGTTTCCCCATTTGTGAATAAAGGATTTGAGGCTAGAGATCTTTAAGCTTCCCTCCAACCCTGATAGTATGTGCTTTGTTTTGGGTCACAGGGATCCTCATTCTCAGAGCACAGGCTCAGGCATGTCCTGAACCCAGTTAATGGTCATTTCTTTCCATGAATTTACATTCAGTCTACTCTGAGGTTATCTTTGAAGCCTCATTACTTAGATGTCTGTGGAATCCTTCAAACCATAGGACAGCCAAGGTCAGAGGCACATTTTGTCATAAGTGGCTGTTTTTAATTTAATAGGCCTGAGATACATAACAATAAACTAGATTCCTTTATTACTCTTTCCTTCCAGCTCTGTCATCCAGGGACTCTGCCCTTTCCCAAAAGGGATATCTTGAGGAGGAGAATATGGCTGCTCTTCACCAGACAGCAAAGTCCCAGGTGAATTGGGGATTTTCCTCTTGTTCCTAAAATCTCATTTGAATTCCTGAAGCAAATAAATTTCTTTCTCTTAGCGTGAAGCTAATCAGCCCTATTAGCATCAGCAGTTTTAAAAGATAAGATCAAGTGGGTGGGATGGACTGCCAACAAAATGGTACCTGGGTGTTTCTCAGGTGTGTGGGAGTGGCAGTGGAGATCAGGGGGCTTGGCAGCCTCCCCTGTCAGTTGGCAGTCGAGGAAGGGGGGACGATGAGGCCCCTTTAGCAGATAATTGAGGAGGAGGACTGACAGAGCATGGCTGGATGAGAACCAAGCTTCATTTGAGACATTTGGCTTAGAAGTGCAAAGGCACATGAGATATCTCTTCTGTCTGCTTAGAATTCCATGGGGAGGAAAGACATGTACATAAATCTGTGTGGTACAAATCAGCAGATTTACTGAGGGCCTACTCAGTAATAAAGGGCTTTAGAGAAAATGTTGTATGAATTCAGAGAGTGAGCAAGTGTGTTTTACTGAGAAAGATTTGGTAAGGCTTTATTCATTCAACCAACATTTTTAAGCTCCTTTAAGGAGCTCTCAGGCTAATGGAAGCAGTGAGCTTTGAAGTGGGCCCTGAAGGATGAGTAGATTTTTGAGAAGAAAGATTTGAGAAGTCAGTGACATAAATGGCTTAGAATTGAGGAGAAATACTCCCTCCTCTGAAACAGGAAAAAAGGAAGTACATTGAAATCATGGAGGTACTGTCCTACAGAAACTTAAGAGGCTCCTGATCTGTTTGCCACATACTAATAATGACAACCAAAGTTCTTTCCTAGATATAATTATCAAGCTTGGTATATTTCTTAGTTCCTTATTTATCATGTTTCTTTCTTAACTTAATGAAAGTAACCTTAAGGCCAGCTGAACAGTAGGCTTGGATGGGAAGGTCATATCTTTTTTTTTGTGTGTGAGCAAGATCAGCCCTGAGCTACCATCCACACCAATCCTCCTCTTGTTGCTGAGGAAGACCGGCCCTGGGCTAACATCTGTTCCCATCTTCCTCCACTTTATGTGGGACGCTGCCACAGCATGGCCTGACAAGCAGTGCGTTGGTGCGTGCCCGGGATCCAAACCCGGGCCGCCAGCAGCGGAGCGCGCGCACTTAACCGCTGCGCCTTGGGGCCGGCCCGGTCATATCCTTAATCTGATCTTTTTTACAGAGCTAAATCACTTTGTTTAGCTGAGAAGTTTTAATGGACTTTTGTTGCTTTTAGACTTATTTCCTACGGTATGAGATCTAGAAACAGTTTGCTTTTTCAACTGTGTTTCCAACCAAACTTCTGGACTCTGTGTTCCATTTTATTTCAGCTTGAAAATTGGCAAATTCTTTCCTGAGCCCAACTCTTTCTTTCTTTGCCAAATATATCCAGGAGTGTCCTTTGCAAACTAGCATTCTGGCTCTTTCCAACCTATTCCCCTAGAGCTACGGGCTCAGTGAGCATTTGTTCTGCCTTCACAGTTACTCATTATTTTGTCACTGTATATCAAGAGTCTACATCATTCCAGCCTTAACTATCCATTTCCTTGAAACCTGCCACCTGATTTTCAAGCCAGTGTCACTCGTATATTTTAGGTTTTTGTCATGATACCGTCCATTTCTAGGTGCTAATTTCTGAATTAGGGTTGGATAACTTATAACTAGTTTAACCAATAGACCCAAAATGTATAATGGCCCCAATACAATAGAAGTTTATTTCTTGTTCTTGTAACCATATGACTGGGTCAGCAGGTTGATAGGGTGGCCATTCAGGGCCTTGATCTCTCTGAAGCCTTAGTATCCTTACCATATGGCTCTCAGACTCACTTTTGGGGTCATCTCCACATCAGCCATCCAGAAGGGGAAAGGGAAAACAACGTGGAGGAATGTATGCTTGCATTCCTTCTGCTTGCATTCCATTGGCTAGAACTCAGTCACATGGCCACATCTAACCGCAAAGGAGCTTGGGAAATGTTTGCCTACCTAGAAAGGTGAGGAGGAAGTGTACTTTAGTGAGCAGTTAGCAGATTCTGCCACTCTCCTCAAACATTTAGGTTATTTAGGACTATTTTGCTATTGTAAGTTATAAATAGATAAGAATCTTTGTTTATAATCCTTTTCCCATATCTCTGATCATTTTCTTATAAATGGATTCTAGATGTAAAATTGCTATGTCAAAAGGGTATACACATTTTAAGACTCTTAACATACAAGTCAATAAAATCTTGTCTTTGACACTATGAACACTGTTGGATCTATTTCCTCCCGGCCCATCAATCTCCTCTAATTCTGCCTCATTCAACCTTGTCTTCAGAGGCTGTTTCAGGGCTTTGTGTCGTTCAAGGATGTGGCTGTGAACTTCACTGAGGAAGAATGGAGAGAACTGGACCCTGCGCAGAGAGTCCTGCACAGGGAGGTGATGCTAGAGAACTATAGGAACCTGGTTTCCTTGGGTAAGGTTGAGTCCTCCCACTCAGGGTACCCTTTCGGGCTGCCTTTGCTTTCTAAAGATTCCCTTGCTCCTATTAGGAGAAAATAACAAATGAGGTTTTGGTTATTTTTTTTTCTCCAGAATCCAGAGCAGATCCTTAAACTACTTCTCACCCTACTTGGGTAGAAAATATTCACTTGCTTTTGACAGTTAGTTACCCTGTTTTCTGCTCTCGAAAACGCAACAGAGTGGGACTGAGAATGGGGCGGTCCTTTGTCTTTTGAACTTAAAATCACATTCGGTTTCTTTCCCTTGAGTAGGATTTCCATTTTCTAAACCTGATGTCACCTCCCAATTGGAACAAGTGGTAAATCCACGGATGCAGGAGGGAGCAGTGCTAAGCAGCAGCTCTACACGTAAGTGAGAACAAGGCAGGTAACATCTTTGGAAATATGAGTTAGGGATCCTTCTCCAAATCCTCTAGGCCCTTAGAAAATGTTGATGCCCCCTCCACTCTCATCTTCACTTGGATGTGTCAGAGTCCTGATAGTCTACCTCTCTCCTTCTTCCTAGACTCAAGGAAGGGGTACTTCCTCCTTAATGTTGTAACCCTAACACTTGATCCAGAGATCCCTGTTGTGCCCTGCCCCAGGCATTTTATATGGTCATTTCCTTCTCCTGTCTAGTTGCTGGAGTCTCTCATTCATATACTTTGTCTTCATCATACCTAGTTTTTTCCTATCTAAAAAATATGAAGAGAATGAAAGAATTTGAATGTAATTTTAAGGGATGTAATTTTATATCCAATTTTAAGGATGTAAAATTGACAGAATTTGCTGAGTGTATGTGGGAGGTAAGGGAGTAACAGACAAAGATAATTCCCAGGTTTCTGGCTCGGATATGTAGGTGGATGGAAGTTCTCTTCCCTGAGATGGAGAACACAGGAGAAGTAGCAAGTTTGGAGGGTGGAAGATGAATTCCATTTATCCTAAGTTGTTTGAAGTGTCTATGGCAGGTCTAAACCAGTGGTTCTCAACCAGGGGCAGTTTTGCCCCCAGGGAACATTTGGCATTGTTTAAAGATTGGGAGGATGCTATAGGCCTCTAGTGGATAGAGGCCAAGGATGCTGCTAAACATCCTACAATGCACAAGACAGCCCTTCACACAAGGCCTTGCTTGCCAAAATGTCAATTGTGCTGCAGTTGAGAAGCTCTGGTGTAAATGGAGATATTTGGAAGGTAGATGAATATAAGGAGGATATGTCAAATGGATCTTGGTGAAGGAAGAGATCTTAGCTGGTGGTACAGATTTGAGAATCATCTGAGAATATGGTAATTGAAGTCTTGGGAGTGGATGAGATCACCCATAGAGCGTGAAAAGAGTTGCAAGAGAGCCTAGAAGCCTAATGAACATACACATTTAAGTATCTGTCATATATCTATATATCTATATCTATATATGTATATATCTATATATATCACTTGTGTACTTTTTCAAAGGTAAACACATAGGGAAAAAAACTGGTGCCAAAAATAATAAAATGGTAATAATTTTTAATAATGGATAATGGCAGTAGAGGTATGTTATATAAATTTCTGTATTTTAAAAATTTATTGATATAAATAAATGAAAGAGAATTCAAAAGGGATAATAAGAAGGGGTGGCCAGAGTGAGGAGGAAACCAGGTCAGATTAATTGTCATAGAAGTCAATAGAAGAGAGCATTTCAGAGGGAGGGAAGGGACTCATAGTGTTATATGCTAGAAAGGTGAAGTGAAAAAGACCTGGAAAGTGTCCATTGGACTTAACATTAATAGGTTGCTCCTCCTTTTTGGCTAACCTAATGGTGGATTAGTCCCCCTGCTACAGTTTTTGTCCTCTGCTTAACTTCCGTTGCTGTCTTTTAACTTTTCTTTTCCTACATTATATAAGGTTGTCAAATCCACCTACTAAGATTACTTTCAAAATAGTCGTCAACTTACCAAGACATATGTGCTATGTTTCTTTTACCCATAATAAAGTTGCAAGAGTACTTACAAGATCCCCAATGATACAGTTCCGACTTTACAACAATTAAAAAGTATATCATGTGTAGTTTACCCATAATAAACCTGAATAAACCTCCTACCTACTACTGGTAGTAGGTCTAATCCCCTGATCCTTCCAACATTTCTGCATTCTCCTGAACTTTGACCTCTTAAAGTCTTTGGTGTGTGTGTGTGTGTGTGTGTGTGTGTGTGTGTGTGTTTTGGGAGGCTCAGAGAGAAGAAAAAAAGTGGAGGCTGAAGGAAATCTCTGGCAAATGGTGAACATTCATGGTAGCAAAGGAAAATACGGGAAATGATCTTATTGAATCTGATAGCAACCTCAGTAGTAATCAAGGAGATTTTCTGGAGGACTGTGCCAGTGGGAGTGGAAGATGTAGGCATTGAAGGATGACCTGAGCTGGGGTGAACTCCAGACAGGGGGTGAAGGAGGGGGTAGTATCAAAAGCCAAGGAAGATTCCAGTGGTTCAGAGGCTGGGAGCAGTTGCCACTCCTGTGTACAGTACTGATCATTCCCCAGTTGACAGCTCTCTAACACCTTGTTTTATAGTATTCATCATGCTTGAAGTTATTTAATTAATACCTTTCTTCCCCAGTAGACTATACATTTCAAAAGAGCTGGTACTGTATCTGCTGTGTTTATCATTGAATCTTAACCCATAACACAATGCCTAGCTTATAATAGGTATTCAATGAATTATTTGTTGACTGCTTGGTTTACATTTATGACTAATGGTGTTTATGCAATTATTATTTCATTCCTGCTTTAGCCATTTCCCACAGTCTAGTGCAGAGAACATTTTTACTTTTCCTCCCCCAGACTTGGAGACCAGAAAGTCAAAACCAAAGAAAGTATTTTCTGAAGAAGAATCATACCAGGGGATAAATATGGAGAGAAGCACAGAGGCTGATGCAAGGACCGCCAGTCTGAAAGAGGCCTGGGGATGTACAGAGATCAGAGAGGGTGCTCAAGATAGACTCTGGGAAGAAGGAACAGTTACCTGCAAGAAAAGAACTTCTATAGCAGATGGGAGCCCCAAATGTGTTGAATTTGGCAGACATGTTAGTCTGAAGTCAGACTTTGTTATACAACCAAGACATTCTAAAGAAGAGAGGCTTTATACACATGATGCTCAGGGAAAGAGCTTCAAACAGAATTCAAAATTAGCCAGACATGAGAAAGACAGCACAAATGAAAAAGTTCTTTGGTGTAATGAGTGTGGTAGAATCTTCAGCGATTACTCAGTTTATATTCAACATTGTATAGTTCATACTGGAGAGACAGATTTGGAATGTAATCAATATGAGAGTGCCTTTGGTCATGATGAACACCACACTGAACATCAGAAAACTAATATTAGAGAGAAGACTTATGAAGATAGAAAAGCCTGTAACTGGAACGCATACCTTACCAAACATCATCAGAATGTTCCTAGTGGGAAGGAACATAATGTGTGTGAAAGAGCCTTAATTCAGAACACACCATTTATTCAACATCAGAGAATCCAGAGTGCAGAGAAACTTTATGATTGTAGTCAATGTAGAAAAACTTTCAGTAATTATTCAGCACTTACAATACATCAGAGAATTCATACTGGGGAGAAATCATATGAATGCAATGAATGTGGGAAAGCCTTTAATCACAGCTCATCTCTTATTCAACACCAGAGAATCCATACTGGAGAGAAACCCCACGAATGTAATAAATGTAGTAAAGTCTTCAGTCACAATTCATCCTGTTTTGAACATCAGTTTATTCATACTGGAGAGAAGCCCTATGAATGCAATGAATGTGGGAAAGCCTTTAGTCACAACTCTTCCCTTATTGTCCATCACTTTATTCACACTGGAGAGAAACCCTATGAATGTAGTGAATGTGGCAAGGTCTTTAGTCAGAGCTCACACCTCTATCAACATCAGAGAACTCACACTGGAGAGAAACCTTATACCTGTAATGACTGCCGGAAAGCCTTTAGTGATCGATCAGCCCTTATTCGACATCAGAGAACTCATACTGGAGAAAAACCCTACAAGTGTGGAGAATGTGGTAAAGCCTTCAGTCAGAGCTCAACTCTCACAAAACATACAAAAATCCACACTGGAGAGAAACCCTACACCTGTAAAGATTGTGGGAAAGCCTTCAGTCAGAGTTCATCCCTCACTCAACATCAGAGGGTTCATACTAGAGAGAAACCATTTGAATGTCATGAGTGTGGGAAAGCCTTCAGTAGAAGTGCCCATCTTACTCAGCATCAGAGGATTCACACAGGAGAGAAACCTTGTGAGTGTAATGAATGTGGCAGAGCTTTCAGGTGTAGTTCAGCCCTCATTAGGCATCAGAGACTTCACAGTGGAGAATCACTCTGAATGTGTGGATGTATTCATTCAGACTCTTCACTTTGTTAAATACCATGCTTTCATTGGTTGTTACAGTGGTCACACTTTTTTATTTTGAGGGTTGAAAATGCCCTCCCCCCACTTTCTCCTGCAAAGTATTAGCTGCCAGAATACCACAAATCCAAGTGAAGAAACACTTGAGTCTGAAATCTGGAATAGCCCAAGATACTCTAAACATCAATCTTTGTGTGTGTGTCTGTGTATGTGTGTGTGTGTGTATTTTTATCCATACCTGACAATGTCTAGCGTCACCATGAAGTGATTTCATTTTTTCCTGGCCCCAGGAATAGGCTGTTCCAACATGCCAAGGAATTCCAGTTGTTCACAATTGAGCTCTTTGCCCCTTCTTGTGCTGATTGGAATAGTGCCATGTCCAAACTAGAGAAACTCATGGTTGATTGTATATCATAATACCACCTTCCTATAAATCTTTGTCATAATACACAGTCATTCCTACCCCCAGCATCTCCCCTCCTGTGGACAGCTATTGTCTTCTTTACCTTGTCCCAGTTTTTTGTGATCACCCTACAGAGGCGAGATGGACTCCCTCTCAATTAATAGGCCAGTTGTTGAGACTGATGACACTTCACACACTGAGAGAATTTGAAAGAAAGTATTGCTCATACAAGGGACTTCTGAGAGCAGGGGATGCGCAAGCCAGTCTGGAATGGCAGGAGCAAAGAACAGGTTGGGCCTTTTCGGTGGCTAGGGGGTGGGGCTAGAGAAGTTCCCATGCATGGCAGTGGTATCCAAGCTTGCAGGATTCAAGCTCCAGTGCCAAGAGCTCAGGAGGTACACACAGGTTTCTTTATCTAAAGTACCAGATGTGTGGTGGTGGGGAGGAGGGGTGGAAGCTCAAATGCTGTCAATGGCCAGACATCAAAAATGGAGTCACTCTTTATTACAGCCACTTTCTCAGAAAATCTTTGTTCACTTACCCCAAAATAACTCTTTAATGGTACTGTGTTTTCTCTTAATGAAGAATGTATTTTGCTTCTTTCTTTACCCTTTCCCCAAGGCTGAAATTGTAACTATCACTTCTCAGAAAGTAAACATTATTTGTCCTGGAAACTGACAGCCTTCCGTGGTAACTGCTGTTTCATACAATCCCAACAGAAGAGTTGGGGGAGGATTGAGCTCACACTTTTAGAAAATATTTCAGGAAAAAAATAGCCTATGAACTTGTACCAAACTAACACTGGATTAAATTACTTGAGATTGTCTGAGGAAACTTCCTGTATATGGCCCTAAGAAGTTTTATGTGTTACTTAATGAAGCCAAGTATTATTTTTTGGTCACACTGTGACTTTATACATATATATGCAGAGTTCCTTCTTTCAAGTCATCCTAAGCTTAAATTGATCTTACGGTCATTTTTTAGGTTTATGTGAATTATTTCCTCTCCCTTTTTTTCTTTGTTCTAGGCATTTTTCAGTTACCCAAGAGGATTCTTGTCTAGGATTCTTGTCTAGGATTAGAGTCGCAACTTTCCCATATCCTTCCTGATTTATCAGTCAGAACCTGAGATTTCCTGCTTTATATTTTTCTCCCTAAAAGGGCTACTCTGAACTCTCCCTTCTCACCAGATTTCCTACTCTTCTCTTCTATTTAAAGCACTTACACGGTGTTAGCTACAGCTTGAAGTTCAACAGGGCTTGAGTTGTTCAGAGCTGAGAAGCACTACTGAAGGTAGAGAAGAAAGGATTTTTGTTCTGAAAATTAGCTGTAAGACAAAATACTCTGAAGGAATGGTGAGATCTGGAAATAATTTTTGAAATACCTGAAATCCTTAGTAACTTTTAGAAATTGAAAAGGGGGAAAAAAAGTCATCTGTAAGTGTCCAGCATTAGAATCAGACCTCTTAAAATAATGTTTGTTAACAACTTAGGTAACAAAGCCCTATCACAACCAGTTGTTCTCTGGAGCCAGTTAGCTTTGGTTGTGGGTAAACCTTTGCCATTTCTTCAGAGGCCTCATCTATGATAACCTGGTTTAGAACTAAAAACTCAGGATGGGTGTCCTTGAACAAGAGGCCTGTCCTAGAATGGCTGGGTTGCATGAATTCATGGATTGCACTGTAGTGAATTAGTTTAGTTCTATTGTAGTCTAAATATATTTTGGATATTGAAATATTAAAATTTCTAGGACATGATGGTGACAAGATATTTGAAATCAGAACATTTCCAGAAATTTTATGAGTCTTGGACTTACAGAGCCTATTTTGTTTTGTTTTGTCTTAATCTGTGCCTTTAGTAGTAGGACCTTTGCTTTTACTCTTTTCTTGGATCTTTCTAAGAGGATCCTCTTAAATACTGTCTATACCTCTTCTCTTGTTTGAGACTATAATCCCTCTTCTTTTATTACTTAACCTAAAGCTCTGTGTGTCTGTTTGGTTAAGGCAAGATCTTGAGGAGGTGGTGGTGAATTTTGGAGTTTGATTTAAGGGTTTAGATAGTACTTTTTTTTGATATTTTCATCTCTTTGGTAGGTAATCTGGATTCTTCAGTTTTTAAATCATGTAAGTCAAAATTTCTAATTTATATGGTTAAAACTGCTTGTGCTCGACTGACTCGAGTTCAGTGAAGGGAAAATTAATTTACGTGTTACGTCTGAAATTCCTCCAGGAAGCTTGGGTAGTTTTCACTTGTGATGAGCTCATTGTATGGTGGCCCTGGCTTGATCTGAGGATGGCAGGAAGAGATTTTTGTTGACTCAAGTGGGGCTTTCTGGCTTTTCTGAGGGGGCATTAATACCTTTAAGGTTTTTGTTTGTTTAAATCGAGAGGCAGTTGTCACATTACCAGTCTTTTCTATTTGCAAGTTAGTCTCTTTAGGACCCATCACGAAGCATCACCTCCTCCCTGACATTTTCATTCACCACCATAGTTGAAAATAATCTCCTTCTCTGAAAACCTGTGCCACTCATTATTTATATCCCTCATCTATGCTAATAAAACATATTTTTAGTTTGATCTTAATAACTGGCTTTATCCCCAACTTTAATACAGTTCTCCCCATGAAGAAAGTATCTTGTTTAGGTCTTTTGTTGTTGATTTTAAACAAAACAATATTTGCATATGGTTTTAAAAATTCATATAAAATAATTTTTTAATGAAAAGTCATCCCTTTAGTGCTGTTGATGACATACCATATTTTAGATGATTTCTGGATATGTTTTGCCAAGAGTCAAGCATACAAAATATAGTGGCTTCAGATAAACATCTTGGGAAAATCATATCATATGCACATTTTACATAATGAGAATTCAACCATATGCACCAAGACGCCCCCTCCCAAAAAACCAACAGATAAATAAATTAGTGAAATTAAAAATACTGTAAAATTATATTTTGCATATCTGTATAACATTCTATTATAAATTTATGCATACAAATACATAATAGCATGTTATCAGAGTTATACACAAAATTATGTAGCTATATTTTATGGGCAAATTAACGGATTTATAAGGGCAACCTTGACAATACCCTATTTTTACCTTATGTGCTGACTATGGAAGCTAAGCGTGTAAGAGTTTGACTCCAAAGAATCCAGAGGCACAGCCAAGACATTTGTTTACTACTTTTTATTTACACTAATTATTCCTCTCCCTGAATGTTTTTGCTTGGTTTGCCAAAATTGATTATATCAGAAGATATCAAAATTGATTAATCAGAAGATTATATCATGATGTGATACAGCAACATGGAGGTCAAAATATCCGTTTCCCAAGATAAACCTGGCTTTAGGTATCTGGATAATTGCCTCAGTTTCTAAGGCAAACCTAGTTTAAATCTCTCCTTTAGTAAATGTAACAAAGAAAAGCTACCTGATTTTCATCCTTATCCTAGTGATGCAACTGCAGAAGTAGGTACTGATATTCCATTTTCATTTTTATGAGCATGAAGTAAGGCAGAATTCAGTGTACAGACTGTCTTTTTTTTTTAAAGCTCTATACAAATCCTTTTCAGAAGATTTCCCTGACAGTAATAGCTAATACTTATAAAGCATTTATTATGTGCTAGTCACTGTTCAGGCAACTTTATATGCATGAACTCATTCATTCCTCCCAACAGTGCTCTTAGGTAGGTACTCTTATCATCTCTCTTTTCTGGATAAGGCAACCAAGGCTCAGAAAGGCTGTCACTGGCCTGCTGGTAAGCAATGTGGAGCTGAGATTTAAACCCCGGTAGTCAGGCTCGAGAATCCTTGTTCTTAACCTTTTTGCTGTACTGCTTCTTTGTACATGTGCGTGGCCCTGAGATAAGTGTTGTAGAAGTGTGCCAATCACTGGGGCATGTGGTAGCTTAATGGAGCTACCTGCTGGGGATGATGGAAGCATGTGACCAATGGGGACTACAGATGTCAAACTTGCTTTGCTCCGTGTTACACAGCCTGATAAGCCTGGGGCAAGACAATATGCCAAGAGTACAGGGATTCTACATTGACTCGGAGGCCAAGCTCTGAGTTAGAGCCCTCTTGACATTCCCCCTGTTAATGCCCACTTAGGGGACTGCTAAAATGTAATAAGGTACTATATGTTACACTGGAAAGTCAGAGAGTAGTTTTATCTGGGTAGAACAGCCCAAATTTACCTACCAGTCCCTTTTAGGCCAACATTTTCGGCAGCTCACACGAGGTCCTTAAGATTCATGACTGTGACAAGACCAGGGGCCTCTGAGAGCAGAGGGCAGCTTTGGGGCTGATGGCCCTTCCTGAAGGGGACTTTCTGAAGCATGCCCCCTCCCGCTCCTGTGCATTTGACAATCGACATAGTAATAAGCACACAGGAGAAGGGATTCAGAGGCTTCTTTCTGGAGTAAAGTCAAAAGGCCTGAGGAGAGTTAGAGGAAATTAGCAGAAAGAGCAAGTTCCTGAGATTTTTTTTTAATTTCTTGTCATTTTAGGAGTATGGAATGTGCTTCCTGTGATGCTTCGAAATTATTCCTCCTAATCCGGTGTTGTGTGGATTTATGGCATTATCTCCTGTTTACCATGAGGGGCATGAGGCCTCCGTTGGAGGGGGAGAGGGCCTGAAAACCGCAGATGAGTTAGGGGATTGGGCTGGCCCGAGGCAGTCCCAGGCACTGTCCTTTAAGGCCAGTCCCTCGAGAGCACACTTGCGTTTTCCCTCACAAAAGGCTCTTTGCTTTGTAAGTTGGCTACAAGGTTGTCCAACCTCTGCTGTATTGGGAGAATTTTTCTTTTTTTTACATCCTTTGTTCGCTTC